GGGATGGGGGTGAGGGGGGAGGTATGGGGGCAGGTGTAGCACTTCCTGCGGTTGCAGGGAAAAGTGCCGGGTGTGGTGGAGCTGGAGGGGAGTGTGGAGCGGACAAGGGAGTCCCGGAGAGAGTGGTCCCTCCGGAAAGCAGATAAGGGTGGGGAGGGAAAGGTGTCTTTGGTGGTGGGGTCGGATTGCAGATGGTGGAAGTGTCGGAAGATGTGAGTCTCTGGATGTGAGTCGGTTACCATGGTAACCCAGCGGCAACTGTAACCCGGAAGGGGATCCAGGCCGACAATGGAGGTGGGTGGGGAAGGTCAAAGAAGGAGGCCAATGGGAGCCCAGCAAGGACCGTTGGTGGGATTCGAATGCGCCAATCGGAAGCTAGGAGAGCGCGTCCGGAAGTGACATAACACCGTGGAGGGGTTGGGAAGCTGCAAACCCGAGTTAACTGCTGTGACTGGCTGCGAGTGACAGGCGCTTCGTATGGTAAGGAGATGGGTTATGGAGGCTCTTAGCCGGTTCAAGGGCAACAAACAGGCGGTAACCCAGTCCCCACCACCGCTGCGGCTCCCGTGGAAAACTGATGGCACCTGGAAAAACGAAGGGGCGCAGTGACTGTTGTTATGAGGGGAGAGAGGTTGGGGGGGGGTAACCTGGCGGCCATTTTTGTGCACAGCAAGATCCCACTTGAGCTGCTGGCTGAGCGTGTCTTTTTATCTTTGTGTTGTTGATTTAAAAAAAAGTAATTTAATCCCATGGTATATAGGCCTCTCTGAGGAGGCCATAAGGGTTATGGGTGCATGGAACACTGAATTGAAAGGGTGGTGGGGGCAGGACTCCTTGATTCGTTTGAATATCTTGTCATCAATATGTGCAGAGATGTTACCTCTTACGGCAGATGAGACTTGAACCCAGGCCTCCTGGCTCAGATGCCCACATGATCCCGAAAAAGTCCCTTTGCTGAATTACCTGCTGTCAAAATAGCCAATACACTGCCCGGGAATTGAACCCGGGTCGCAAGAGTAGGAATCTTGCGTGATGCCACTAGACCAGCGGTGCGGACCGAACGAGGTAGTACTTAGATTAGTTTGAAATATCATAGCATTCAAAGCTACAGGCTTAGTACTGCAAAATGGAATTAGAATAGATAAGTGCCTGATGATTAATGTGGACACGATGAGCTTTTCTGTACTGTTTAATAACTGTCTCTAGCATTTGCTGCTGTCCCTAATTGCCCTCGATCTTAGTGGCTCACCTGGCGATTTTAGAGGACAGTTGAGAGCCTACCACATCGTCATAGGTCTGAAGTTACAAGCAGGGTGATCACCTGTTCTAGATATTATGAGACCATCTTGTATTTGAGACAAGTTGCTTGCAGCCAGGATGCTTTTTGATCTTTATACTTTAGATTGCTGACACTTGCATAGTTTGGTGTGCAAGCGGATATGTGCATTGTGCTATCCCTTTGGCAATCCACTCGCTCAGTCTGACTAGCCACCCCGTCACCAGCTCTCACAGGTTTGTCATCCTGCTTTCCAGCTCTCACAAGCTCACTAAGCCCCTCCTGACCAACTTGTGGAGTAGCCCATGCCAAAGTGTCCCTTACTGTGTACCCTGAGAGTTGGTCAGTCGAGTCCCAAGTAGGCCAAGTTGGGTAAGGATGGCAGATTTTCTTCTTAAAGCGCAATAATGAATGATGACCATAATGAGATCTGCTTTCAATTAAGATTAATTCATTAAATTCAAATTCCAGCAACTGCTGTTAACCCAGAGCATTTGCTTGGGTCTCTAGATGACTGGTGTAGTGATGTTATTTTTATCCTACTTTTCCCCCTGCATGTTATTGAGGGATAAGCATTGGCCTAAACACCAGCATAGACTGCCTCCCGTTTCCAACCCCCATATTCCTGGCATGCGGTGCAATTCAATTATACCTGCCATACCCAATGGCTAATGTGGACCCTTATGTAACCCAACCCCATTATTTTGAGGTCAAATAATGTTCCTTTGGGGAATCCGTCCAACCGCCATCACCACATCCCTTCCCTAACTTCTATTAACTGTCATTTCATGTTCACCGTTTCAATCTATACTGTTGACTGCTTGGAACCTGGACCGGAAATGTCAGTATTTCCCTATTCCCTTCCTGTTTAATGTGCTTCATCTTGACTCTAATCCCCTGGCCACATTCTGGCAAATCCTGTTCTTCTGGGGAAAAAGTGGACTGCACCTGAAATACTTTATCCATGGGGCAGCACCTCTGACAGCGAAGTGCTCCCTTTTGTACAGTGCTGAGTGTTAGCTTTGAATGTATGCCATTAAGGAGAGTCCATGTTTGGCTAAAAAGAGCATTTCCTTGCAATATTTGAGTTCACCTTGATTTTATGCCTTTAATATATATTAGAAATCTTGCATAGATGGAAATTGGGTTTTTTGAGTATACCTTAGTAAACAAAAATAATTGTATGACTTGGAAAGTACAGAATCCTTTAAAAGATGAGAAATTTCCAGGCTTTTATTTCTGCTCGATTCTGACTAAGTAAGATGTTGATTTAGAAATGATATATAGCATTAAGCAGACGTAATATAGTTTGTACTGTTCCAGTATTTTGCAAGAATGAAGTGTTTTGATTTGAGGTTACAGAACGGGAAGGGTTGTAATTTTAATATTTAATAAGTGGGTTTTGAAATGTTGATGCTTTAATTGGAAAGCTTTGATTTTGTTTGAGAAAACAAAAAATTAAAACTTTTAATTTTAAAACCCCCCACCTCACTGACCAATCCCCATCATGCCTACCTGCACTCACCTATCACCATCTCCACCTACCTTCCACAGCCCCACCCCTCCTCCCTATTTATTTCTGAGCTGCCTTACCCCTTCCCATTTCTGAGGAAGGGTCTTGACCCAAAACGTCAACTTTCCTGCTCCTCTAATGCTGCATGGCCTGCTGTTTTCCTCCAGCTCAAAACTGTGTTATCTCTGACTCCAGCATCTGCAGTTCTTGTTATCTCTAGCATTGCTTATATTGTTTTGAGATTGTGTGTTTTGGAGGTTGAGAATGTTCCCACAATCCAAGACTTTTCAAACTGAACTGTACCATATTGGGATAGCATTTAGGACTAATTCGTCAAGCGAGGCCATTTGTGAATAGCCTTGCTTCAGTTTTAAGATAATCTCCCCTATCTCGATGCTCCCAGCAGAGGAGATTGTTTTGCTCTTCCATTGGGATCTCTTCCAGGGCAAGTGGGACCTGTATAGGAAGGATGGGTTGCATCTAAACTGGAGGGGCACAAATATTCTGGTGGGGAGGTTTGCTGGTGTCACTTGGGAGGATTTAAACTAGCTTGGCAGGGGTGTGGGAACCAATGGAAAGGTGAATGGACTGAAAGGGAACTAGAGAATAGAGCCAGTAAGACTCAGCAGAAGAGCAGGCAGGGTGTGGCTGCTGATCAAAGTGGGTCTGGTGGACTGAAGTGCATCTGTTTCAATGCAAGAAGTGTAATGGGTAAGGCAGGTGAACTTAGAGCTTGGATTAGTACTTGGAGCTATGATGTTGTTGCTATTACAGAGACGTGGTTAAGGGAGGGACAGGATTGGCAGTTTAACGTTCCAGGATACAGATGTTTCAGGCAGGATAGAGGGGGATATAAAAGGGGTGGGGGAGTTGCACTACTTGTTAAGGAGATTATCATAGCTGTACTGAGGGAGGACACCTTGGATGGCTCATACAGTGAGGCAATGTGGCTAGAGCTCAGGAACAGGAAGGGTGCAATCACAATGTTTGGGGTTTACTATAGGCCTCCCAACAGCCAGTGGAAGATTGAAGAACAGATATGTAGGCAGATTTTGGCAAGATGTAAAAGTAACAGGGTTGTTGTCGTGGGTGATTTTAACTTCCCATATATTGACTGAGACTCACTTAGTGCTTGGGGCTCGGATGGGGCAGAGTTTGTAAGGAGCATCCAAGAGGTCGTCTTGAAACAGTATGTAGATAGTTCAACTGGGATAGGGGCCGTACTGGATCTAGTATTAGGGAATGAGCCTGGCCAGACGGTCGACATCTCAGTAGGGGAGCAGCTTGGGAACAGTGATCACAATTCAGTAAGCTTTAAAGTACTGATGGATAAAGATCAGTGTAGTTGTCAGGTGAAGGTGCTAAATTGGGGGAAGGTTAATTACAACAATATTAAGCAGGAACTGAAGAATGTAGATTGGAGGCAGATGTTTGTGGGCAAGTCAACAAATGGTATGTGGGAGGCCTTCAAGTGTAAGTTGCTCGGAACTCAGGACCTGCACATTCCTTTAAGGGTGAAGGATAAGTATGGCAAGTTTAGGAAACCTTGGAGAACAAGAGATATTGTGAGCCTAATCAAAAAGAAAAAGGAAGTGTTTATTAAGGCTAGGAGGCTGGGAACACATGAAGCAAGGGTGGAATGCAAGGAAAGTCAAAAGAAACTTGAGCAAGGAGTCAGGAGGACTAAAAGGGATCATGAAAAGTCATTGGCCAACAGGTTTAAGGAAAATCCCAAGGCTTTTTATACATATGTAAAGAGCTAGAGGGTAGCCAGGCAGAGGGTTGGCCTAATCAAGGGCAGGGAAGGGAATTTGTGTGGAGCCAGAGGAAATGGGCAAGGTATTAAATGAGTACTTTGCATCAGTATTGACATATAGAATCATAGAATCCCTACAGTGTGGAAACAGGCCCTTCGGCCCAACAAGTGCATGCCAACCCTTGGAGCATCCCACCCAGACCCATCCCCCTATAACCCACCTAATCTACAGACCCCTGAACACTACGGGCAATTTAGCTTAGCCAATCCACCTAACCTGCACATCTTTGGACTGTGGGAGGAAACCGGAGTACCCAGAGGAAACCCACGCAGACACGGGGAGAATAGAGAAGGACTTGGTGGATGATGAGTCTGGGGAAGGGTGTGTAGATAGTTTGGGTCATGTTGAGATCTAAAGGGAGGAGGTATTAGGGGTCTTGAAAAATGTTAAGGTAGACAAGTTCCCAGGGCCTGATGGGATATACCCCAGAATACTGAGAGAGGCAAGGGAGGAAATGGCTGGGGTCTTGAGGGAAATCTTTGTATTCTCACTGGCTACAGGGGAGGTCCCAGAGGATTGGAGAATAGCCAATGTAGTTCCTTTGTTTAAGAAGGGTGGCAAGGATAATCCAGCTAATTACAGGCCAGTGAGCCTTACGTCAGTGGTAGGGAAATTATTGGAGTGGATTCTTCGAGACAGGATTTACTCCCACCTGGAAATCAATGGGCTATTAGCGAGAGGCATCATGGTTTTGTGAAGGGGAGGTCATGTCTCACTAACTTGGTTGAGCTTTTTGAAGAAGTGACGAAGATGATCGATGAGGGTAGGGCAGTGGATGTTGTCAACATGGACTTCAGTAAGGCCTTTGACAAGGTCCCTCATGGCAGGCTGATACAGAAGGTAAGTCGCACGGGGTCAGAGGTGAGCTTGAAAGATGGTTAAAAAAACTGGCTCGGTCAAGAAGACAGAGGGTAGCGATGGAAGGGTGTGTTTCTGAATGGAGGGCTGTGACTAGTGGCGTTCCTCAGGGATCAGTGTTGGGACCTTTGCTGTTTGTAATATATATAAATGATTTGGAGGAGAATGTAACTGGTCTGATTAGTAAGTTTGGCGATGACACTCGGGTTGGTGGAATTGCGGATAGCAATGAGGACTGTCAAAGGATACAGCTGGATATAGAACGGTTGGTGACTTGGGCAGAGAGATGGCAGATGGAGTTTAATCCGGAAAAATGTGAGGTAATGCATTGTGGAAGGTCTAATCCAGATGGAAAATATACAGTAAATGGCAGAACCTTTAAGAGTACTGATTGGCAGAGGGATCTGGGTGTACAGGTACGCAGGTCACTGAAAGTGGCATCGCAGGTGGAAAAGGTAGTCAAGGCATATGGCATGCTTGCCTTCATCGGCCCGGGCATTGAATTTTAGAAATTGGCAGGTAATGTTGCAGCTTTATAGAAGCTTCGGCCCCATTTGGAATATTTTGTTCAATTCTGATTGCCACACTACCAGAAGGATGTGGTGGCTTTGGAGAGGCCACAGAAAAGATTTATCAGGATGTTGCCTGGTATGGAGGGCGTTAGCTATGAGGAGAGGTTGGAGAAACTTGGGTTTTTCTCACTGGAATGACGGAGGTTGAGGGGAGACCTGATAGAGGTCTACAGGATTATTAAAGGCGTGGACAGTCAGAAGCTTTTTCCCCCAAGGTGGGAAAGTCAGTTACCAGGGGCCATGGGTTTAAGGTGCAAGGGGTAAGGTTTAAAGGTGATGGATGAGGCAAGTTTTTTTTACACAGAGGGTGGTGGGTGTCTGGAACTTGCTGCTGGGGGAGGTTGTGGAAGCCGATACAATAGTGACTTTTAAAGGGCGTCTTGACAAATATAGGAATAGGATGGGAATAGAGGGATACGGTCCCCAGAAGGGTAGGTGGTTTTGGTTGTGACCGGCAGCATGTCGGTGCAGGCTTGAGGGCCGAAGGGCTTGTTCCTGTACTGTAATTGTCTTTGTTCTTGTATCTATGCAATCAGATCATTCTTATATTTTACATATCTTGGTCAGACCATCTCTCAATCTTCTTTGTTCAAGGAAATAAAAGCAAGTTTCTGCAACCTGCCTGCATAATTTAACTGTCAAACCCCTGGCGTAATCCTCTGAAATGAACAGTGGCACATTTTTCTGTAGAGGAGTGGTCAAAGTAGTTTCAAAGCAGATTTTGAAAAGATTACGAGGTTTCAGATTCAGAAGAACTGGCAGAAAATGTTTTTTTTATTTTTAGCTAACTGATCAATTTCCTGTAAAATTCATATAGGAAGCCAAGACCAAATGCAATCCAAGAATTAGAGCATTAGAGGGCAGGGGATAAGTGAACATGGGTTTTGTCTTTTTTTGTATAATGTCCTATTATCACTCTAAGTTAAACAGCAGTAGTAAAGTTTGATGAAACATAGGCTGTAATGAAAAGAAAGTTCTGAGGAAGTGGTCGGTAACTAGTATAACTAAAACATGAAAAGTATGCATGGGCGATTTCCATTCTAGGGTTGGGGAAACTCCAGTCAATTCAGAGTGGGCTGGTAGTATGTAGCAACCTGTTAATTGGCTTGGAGCCATCTGATCCTTTTGGGATTGGAAAGAAAATTGACTTTATCAATTGTGTATTCCATTAGTATGGCCTGAATTCAACTTGAGTCGCCCAGGTGTAATTATATTATTCTGTTCCATTATGCTTTCTTGCATAGTGTAATTCTTTTGTTATAAACACCTTCAATTCTTAGAAGTGATGAAGTAATTTTTTTTGTCTTCTTTTGGATCAGCTGAGAAGAGAAATGAAAACCAGATCGTCTCCTCTGCTCCATGTTCATGTTGATGAAACCACCCCTGTCCATGTCCATGTTAAAAAGAGCCCAAAACCATCAAAGAAAGTTCAGGTAATCACTGATTAGACTCTTGTAAGTTTTAAAATAAAGTCTGTCTGTACCTCTCACTTATTGTTTTGTGCGTTTGCATGCTTCCTCCAATTAAGTAATGTTCTGCATCTATCTCCTCTTCCTTTCCCAGCCTGTCCCTTTGTTAATGCAAATAAAATAAATTTGAGTTTCATTAACTTAAGTAGCTGAAATTGCATTTTGTTTATTTGACTGAAAATTATAGCTTCATGTCTGCCAAAAAATCAATAAGTGCACTGACATAGTGCAGTTTCTGAAGAGTTGCTGTTCAAAAAAAATTCACATGTTTAAGTGAGACCACATATTTCACCATTTAACCTATTTCCTTTCAATGTGTAGCAAAAGCTGAAAGGAGCCTGGGAATGTGGCAACCTACGAGAAACCAGTAAGGTCAAACCCAAGATCCCATGGATTCCACCAGGGAAAACATCAGTGAGGGATGTTGG